ATGTATTTCCTTCAACATTTAATCCTGACATTCCTCGATTAACCTAACATTTCATCATCATTATAATAATTTTTATAAGGAATGTTTTCTCTTAAGATTTCTTGCAGATTTTCCAGATCTGAGTTTTAACAAAAAAAAAAAAAAAACAGTTTTTCCACTTTTAATGTTTAGTCTCCATTTGATGATTAAGTTCGTAATCGTTTTGGGTACTTTTACTCTAAAAATAATAATATTGTATTTATAGTCATTGCTAAGTGATTCCTTTTATGTTGATGTTACATTAAAGGAATTGTTTGTAGTATCCCTTTCCTTTAACTAGTCAGTGAGTCACAAAAATATCTAGCAAGTCGGCCAGTCAGTCAAGTTTGTATATCTGTCTGTCATTTTTACTGTGTATTATATGTAATGTCAAGTTGTATGTGTGTGTCCTTATCTAGCTCTCTTGCGTTTACATTATTTTATCCTTTAGAGTATTATTGTCTTAAGTTATGTTTTCTGTTTTTGTTTTTATTTTTATTTTTTTTTTGTATTCCATTGTTACAAATGTCATCAAAATCTTTACAATAAAAGCGAAAGCTTTTTTATTATAATTTCGTTTTTGTATACAAATATAAAGAAAAATATAATTATAATAATATAAGTGTTTGCCAGTCCTTTTGAAGGACTCTGATGATAGTTGCTAAAGTTCTCAACTAAAGATCTCTGTGATATGGCAGGTGAAAATCAACTTTTATTTGCAGTCAAATTTATTTGTATCATTTGACGTAAAAGGTCGATAAAAACTTTTGCAAATTATTTTTGAAAAAAATAAACAATAAAAATTTAAGTAAAATACTGAACTAGAACTGAACTAGAACTGAACTAGAACTGAACTAGAACTGAACTAGAACTGAACTAGAACTGAACTAGAACTGAACTAGAACTGAACTAGAACTGAACTAGAACTGAACTAGAACTGAACTAGAACTGAACTAGAACTGAACTAGAACTGAACTAGAACTGAACTAGAACTGAACTAGAACTGAACTAGAACTGAACTAGAACTGAACTAGAACTGAACTAGAACTGAACTAGAACTGAACTAGAACTGAACTAGAACTGAACTAGAACTGAACTAGAACTGAACTAGAACTGAACTTGAACTGAACTAGAACTGAACTAGAACTGAACTAGAACTGAACTTGAACTGAACTAGAACTGAACTAGAGCTGAACTAGAACTGAACTAGAACTGAACTAGAACTGAACTAGAACTGAACTAGAACTGAACTAGAACTGAACTAGAACTGAACTAGAACTGAACTAGAACTGAACTAGAACTGAACTTGAACTGAACTTGAACTGAACTAGAACTGAACTAGAACTGAACTAGAACTGAACTAGGACTGAACTAGAACTGAACTAGAACTGAACTAGAACTGAACTAGAACTGAACTAGAACTGAACTAGAACTGAACTAGAACTGAACTAGAACTGAACTAGAACTGAACTAGAACTGAACTAGAACTGAACTAGAACTGAACTAGAACTGAACTAGAACTATACTAGAACTGAACTAGAACTAAACTAGAACTGAACTAGTCGTATTCGACAAACGTATAATAATAACTAAGCTAATTTTCCCCTAATTACGTGATTTCTTTTACATTTTCCGTTGATATATTAGAACTAGCTGCTAGTTAAAAACAGATTTTCGTTGACAAATTTCACTTTGTAACCGAATATATTTGCATAATTTTGCAAAACCCAATATGTCCACTTTTATTTACTTGAAACTAAATCTACTTTAGTACAAACTAATTGCACTTCTCTATTCAAATTCTAATACTTCCCCACACTTGAAATTATCATTAACACTGACATCATTAAATAAATTTTAGCTGTCAGTTGCCATAATTTCCCCAGTAGTAGTGTGTATTCCATTGAAATGTGACAAGTAGAGTTGTTGTTGTTGTTTATTGTGGTTGCAGTTGCATTTGTAGTTGCACAAATCGAAAGAAAAGCAATTGCCACTTGCAGTGGCAGTCAACTTGTTATTTACGAAATTATAAACACAGCAAATGTTCATTCTTCTAACTAATGTTCTGCATACTTGTATTCTGACAGTTATAAAAAATAGTGAACGCTTAATTTGGTGTATGTGAGTGTGTGTGTCTTCTCATAAGAACCGAGAACAAGAGGGATTGTATTTTTGAAACATACAGTGTTAATTGACTGCACTGGAATTGGTCTAATTTATGGAAATGATTATCTTCAATTACATTATATATGCTTTTAGTTAGTTTGTGAGTTTATTGTTTAATTTTAGATTATGTATGTAAGTTTAAAGTGTTTTTGAACTTTGAAGGAAATTCTGGAAATAGAAATTATGCATTACATTTATAGTTTTAGAACCTGTTATTATTTATGTACGAAGAAAGTGGATTTTTTCGTTGTTTTATTAAAAATATTTTGTGGCTAGTATGAATCCTCAAATTATAATAACATTATAAGTAATCGCAACAAGGATGTAGTCGTTTGTTAACAATAAGATAGTTAGTGGTGGATGAGATGACTGAATACCAGATCAGATTCTCTATTAACCTCTGAAGCAAATAAGAATGGATATTTCTGGGAACAAAAAACTGTAGTCTACCAATATTAGAGTGCTCCAAAAAAATGAAGTTGCGAATTTTGCCCGTCCCCCCAGAATTGTTCTTTGGGATGTAAAACTATATAATACAAAAAATTAGGCTGATAGGATAAAGTTAAGGTGCCGCAACGGCTCTAAAGTTTTCAAGTGCATTTACAAGGGGAAAATATCGATTTTTTTCAGTTTTTGCTAAAATTTGGCCATTAATTAATAAATTTTGAACTTTATTGTAAAGGAATCATAATGTGCACAGACTAAGCATTTCGGAAAGATATAAAACACAAAAATTGCTTGAAACCTTTAAAAGTTATTGCAAATTACCCAGGCTTTTAACGTGTGCCACAGCACATGAATTCGAAATGTGACAAAAGAATTTACTTTTTTTTGGATATATTCTAAAAAAAATTTTGTTACTTAAAATATATCTATAATTACTCGAATATTAGTTTGTGCCCTTATAAGATAACGCTAACTTCTTCTCAGCTATGGTCAAAGAAGTTTGATTTTTTTACGACCGTTTCAAATCTCCAATTTCAGTTTTTTTGAATCTTTGTTAAACAAATTTCAAAATTTTTAAGGCTAAAAAAATTAGATCAATATTTCTTACAGGTTAACTGTACCTGCGATTTGAACTGGGCGGATTTCTGGAAAATCGCATTTTTTTTTGTAATATTTTAGAGAATACGTATTAATTCTTTACTGTTGTAAATTTTAAATAAAGTATTATCCGAGTATTATAGTCTAGATAATACAAAATATATATCGAAGTTTTATTAAAATCGGACATTCTTAGCCCATAAACTGTGGAGTTCAAAGGTCAAATTTTGCAATATTTGGGAATTCTTAGTGTAGACTACGTATTAATTCTTTACTGTTGTACATTTTAAATACAGTATTATCCGAGTATTATAGTCTAGATAATACAAAATATATATCCGAAGTTTTATTAAAATCGGACATTCTTAACCCATAAACTGTGGAGTTCAAAAGTCAAATTTTGCAATATTTGGGAATTCTTAGTGTACCATATCGAAATAATATTTATTTGACGACCGTAGTTACCAAAAATTACTGGAATTTATGGTATATAGTCCGATATTTAAAATAGAGTGAAAAAAGTAGATTAACCCTTTAAGGCACTTGGGAACAATTTAACACCAAAGTTCAAAAATTAGAAAAAACACTCTCTATTTGAATAATGCTCTATATAATTAAAGGAATAACAGAAATAAAATATAAAATTCTATATTAAGTATAAAAACTTATGAATTAACCCTTTCTACACGCATATATGGTTCCCTTCAGAAAATTACTCTTACACTCATGACTGAATCGAAAATATGAGTAGAGCGATGAAATTCGAAACAAATGAGTATTATAGGAACCGAAACCTTTCTATCAAATTTAACGACAATCAGCCCATAATTGATCTTACTATTCACGGTTTAAAAATTTAATAAAAATATTTAGTTTTCAAAAAAAAAAAAAAAAAAGATTTTGTTAAATAAAAAAAAATATTTTGTTAATTCAAAGAGCCCGGTCCATAATTGACTTAAGCCATATTCCCTGATGTTTATATGGGAGCATTTCTTTTACTGCATGTATAAAGGGATTTTTTGTACTTTTTGTTCTGAAACTGGAACTTTTTGAGTTTTCTTATAATAATACTTAATCTTGGGCTACAAAATTAAACATGAAGAGTCCTGATTAAATGAAAATTCATAAAAGGGGACCTTTTGGTACGTTTTCATTCCTCAACTGGTACTTTTTGAGATTTCTTTAATATTGAACGATGAGACATAAAACTAAACATGCATAGTCCTAACTACTTTTTTGTTCTTAAACTGCTATTTTTTAATTTGTTGTAATATTGAGACTATAATCATAAATTCAAACTTATTGGGTCCCTATTGATGGAAAATCTATGAAAGGGGACTTTACGATATATTTCATTTGGGTGGTTTTCGGAATGAACTAAGTATTACATACTTTGAAGACCTTTCTCCGTACCTCGTATGTGGCCATGGCTAGATCGTCTTAGAATCTAAAAACGTCCCAGAATGTGTATACTTATAAATATATGTGGGTCTAATTCCAATTACAAACTGAATAAAATATCCAACATTATTTTCTAATCCACTTAAATGATTACATTATTGATTTATATCGATTATATAGTTTCGTCCTATTGACAAGTAAACTGATGTATGACATTCGCAATGCATTTCACATGGCTGTAAATAAAAATAACACAGCAAGGACGAAGGAAAATTCTCAACTGGATTTGTCAAGCTAACTTTTGTTATCCTTACAATAAAATCCTTAAACATAAAAACAGAATTTTAATTATCAATCACACATTGACTTACCTGTAACACACCAAGCCATGCATAAGATGAGTTTATAGTACGTTGTACGTTATAATTTTCTCCTTCGTATTGGGTTCTTTTTTTATCTAGATGCACCAGTTTGCTTTTACATCGACATACTCAGTTAAAGTTGTAGATGAATGAAATTTATTTTTATTTATTTATAATTTGTAAAATGTCGATAAAATGAATTTTCAATCAGAGATGTGACTACCACCGCACAATCTAATTACTATTGAGGTTTTTTATCTTATATTTTGTATTTTTTTTATTATAATACTGTGGGTGTGTGGGTATATGTAGGTTTAGGAACAGTTGGTGTTTGGTGTATAATAAAACACATAATGAAAAAGTCACAAGAATTTCAATTACAAAATGTTCTAAATAAAATCTAATTAAACGTTTTGTTAGAAAAGTTGTTGTAGTTGCCAGTATGGGATTACATAGGAGTCAATGTTCTCTTGTAATACTTTTATCAAGTTGGAAATCTAGCGAAAATTCTATCTTTACTTTAGTACCGCTAAGTAATCGAGAGGAAACACACTGTCCTTAGAAAGTAGTTATTTAACCCACCAACAGTAATCTATTACAGAGTCAATTGTCTATATGTTTCGAAATGTGATAGAAATCAATATAGAGGCAAATCATATCGCTATAGAATCCACTAACTGCAATCACTAGATCGGTAGTGACACCCCGAATTACCGGATTAGTCTTGCTGCTGTGTTTGTACAGATATTTTTTATGTATGTGTAAGTGCAAATAATATTAAATGCTTTTAATTGTTTATTTTAGACGATTGAGAATAGAGCAAGAAAATCAACAAATAAACAACTGAACAATAAACAACTGAACTGCAATGATACAGTTCAAAAACACAGGCAAACACACATACATCCACCAGCACACCCACACAGTATACTGTTGCACTTTCTACACAAACACTATGCTTCCGTGTAATAGTAAAAGAGGATTAAACAGGTTCATTATAATCATCAGTTAAATCAGTGTGTTGAGCCTCCTCTCATTGTTGATTATTTTCTTTTTAATTAAATTTTAAATTTTTTATAAATTTTTAATTTATTTAATTAAATTTCGCCGTTACTTTAGTTTGATTAAAAATGCTTTTTCCGATTTTTTATTTCACTAATAAACTTTTAATATATTTGAATGCCTATGAAAGAGCAAACAAAAATATATGAATGCTGCGATTTGTTAGACAAGACGTTTCAAAGGATACTGTAATAGAGATTTTTGCACAATTGTAGTTTTAAAGATTTTCAAACATACGAACAGAGAAGGAAATGATTTTGGTTGCTGCTGCTATATTTGTTGTTGGGAATTTCTTTCGTGAAAAGAGTTGCCATGGTGAGATAAATTCTTAAGAAAGCTTTTATGAGGAAAAATAGGGAAATTAGAGGACAAAACTAACAGTTACATGGCGTCATATCCGAATCTAGTGCAGTTCAAGTTCAGTTCTAGATCAGTTCTACTTCAAGTTCAGTTCTAATTCAGTTCTAGTTCAGTTCTAGTTCAGTTCTAGTTCAGTTCTAGTTCAGTTCTAGTTCTAGTTCAGTTCTAGTTCAGTTCTAGTTCAGTTCTAGTTCAGTTCTAGTTCTAATTCAGTTCTAGTTCAGTTCTAGTTTAGTTCTAGTTCAGTTCTAGGTCAGTTCTAGTTCAGTTCTAGTTCAGTTCTAGTTTAGTTCTAGTTCAGTTCTAGTTCAGTTCTAGTTCAGTTCTAGTTCAGTTCTAGTTCAGTTCTAGTTCAGTTTTAGTTCAGTTCTAGTTCAGTTCTAGTTCAGTTCTAGTTCAGTTCTAGTTCAGTTCTAGTTCAGTTCTAGTTCAGTTCTAGTTCATTTCTAGTTCAGTTCTAGTTCAGTTCTAGTTCAGTTCTAGTTCAGTTCTAGTTCAGTTCTAGTTCAGTTCTAGTTCAGTTCTAGTTCAGTTCTAGTTCAGTTCTAGTTCAGTTCTAGTTCAGTTCTAGTTCAGTTCTAGTTCAGTTCTAGTTCAGTTCTAGTTCAGTTCTAGTTCAGTTCTAGTTCAGTTCTAGTTCAGTTCTAGTTCAGTTAGTTCAGTTCTAGTTCAGTTCTAGTTCAGTTCTAGTTCAGTTCTAGTTCAGTTCTAGTTCAGTTCTAGTTCAGTTCTAGTTCAGTTTAGTTCAGTTCTTTTTCTAGTTCAGTTCTAGTTCAGTTCTAGTTCAGTTCTAGTTCAGTTCTAGTTCAGTTCTAGTTCAGTTCTAGTTCAGTTCTAGTTCAGTTCTAGTTCAGTTCTAGTTCAGTTCTAGTTCAGTTCTAGTTCAGTTCTAGTTCAGTTCTAGTTCAGTTCTAGTTCAGTTCTAGTTCAGTTCTAGTTCAGTTCTAGTTCAGTTCTAGTTCAGTTCTAGTTCAGTTCTAGTTCAGTTCTAGTTCAGTTCTAGTTCAGTTCTAGTTCAGTTCTAGTTCAGTTCTAGTTCAGTTTTAGTTCAGTTCTAGTTCAGTTCTAGTTCAGTTCTAGTTCATTTCTAGTTCAGTTCTAGTTCAGTTCTAGTTCAGTTCTAGTTTTCTAGTTCAGTTCTAGTTCAGTTCTAGTTCAGTTCTAGTTCAGTTCTAGTTCAGTTCTAGTTCAGTTCTAGTTCAGTTCTAGTTCAGTTCTATTCAGTTCTAGTCAGTTCTAGTTCAGTTCTAGTTCAGTTCTAGTTCAGTTCTAGTTCAGTTCTAGTTCAGTTCTAGTTCAGTTCTAGTTCAGTTCTAGTTCAGTTCTAGTTCAGTTCTAGTTCAGTTCTAGTTCAGTTCTAGTTCAGTTCTAGTTCAGTTCTAGTTCAGTTCTAGTTCAGTTCTAGTTCAGTTCTAGTTCAGTTCTAGTTCAGTTCTAGTTCAGTTCTAGTTCAGTTCTAGTTCAGTTCTAGTGCAGTTCTAGTTCAGTTCTAGTTCAGTTCTAGTTCAGTTCTAGTTCAGTTTCTAGTTCAGTTCTAGTTCAGTTCTAGTTCAGTTCTAGTTCAGTTCTAGTTCAGTTCTAGTTCAGTTCTAGTTCAGTTCTAGTTCAGTTCTATTGAATTGCATTTAAAATTGTTTACGAGATATAGTGTCCCGTTTTTGGCCATATTTAAGACTTTTTAACAACGCGAAGAATCGACAAATTGAACTTTCGGATAATATAACAGATTTTATAAATGAAAAACATTTTTGTTTAAACTATATAACTCCATATCTCGGTGGAGAAATTTCAGACCAGATTCAATTTCAACGCAGCACTGTGATATAGAAATAATTTGGTCACTGCTAAACGGTTTGACCGATTCAGATGAGTTTAGGGTTATGATAGTTTTTTTTAAAAAATATAATTCTTTATTTGTATTCCGATCTCAAACTAGCACTATATACATATAGCTGTCGATTATCTCTTCGTTTAGGAAATATTCTCATTTGAAAATTAAATTTTCAAAATTTTTACCCACCCTGCTCTAGTATTTTGACATCAATCGATCCAAATATTTCTCGATATTTTCCATTAACGTTTACCTTATTCTTTTCACATGTAAAATTAACGAGGAAATATTTAAGATTGCAAAATTGTAATCTTCACCGACTGAAGTAGTTTATTGTGGTCTGGGGTTAAAAATCCGTATTTCGATTCGAATACAGAGTAACATATTTGAGTTTAACGATTTTCAGTCAGATTCCATATTTCTGCAGTATAAGGTCGAGCTCGATCTGTAATTTTGTAGGAGAGACGAACGAACATCGCTGCGTGGGTATATTCTATAGCACAATGGGGCAAAATTATTTGGCATTTTTAAAATTTGGGTAGGCGAAGTATTATCACATATCAATATTAACAAAAACATCAAGGTAATTTTCTAAATGGGGTTTTATTAGGGACTTGATGCTCTAAGGAATTTGACAATGGAGGTAGGTAGTTCAATTATGGACCAATATTCATGAAATTTGGTACAGAGATTATTATTCTTCGAAACTTATTTAAATCTAAACTTAAACACTTTTAAAATTGAAAGTAATTTTTCGAAGAGTACCTTTTGGAATGGGCCGATCACGAACAATAAATAGTATGATTCCTATAGCTACGATATGTACATATACACTATATTTGTGTCATATTTTTTTATCGTTATTACTATTTGATAATGAAAAATGTTTGTTTGAATGTTATTCTGAAGGTGACTTTATATGGGAGCCATGATTGAATATGAACCGATCCTCGCATAAATGCTATTGTTATAAAACTTAAGTTGAAATTTTCTACAAATATTTCTTATAGGTAAGGATCGGTCTACGATTTACCCTACTCCCCATATAAGGTCCTTTCAGAAAATGAAAATGAAGAGTTAAAATCTCTCTACAGAATTTTACGGGAATCGGTCCATAATTTACCCTACCCTCCATATAAGGCCCCATTCAGAAAATGACTGCAACGCTCATTACTGCCTTAAAAATAGGAGTATAGCGCTGAAATTCACTTATGTCTTAAAAAAAAAACTCTCTACCAAATTTTATAAGGATCGGTCTATAATTGACCTTACCCCCATATAAGGCCCCCTGCAGAAAATTATTTTAACGCTTGTTGGAAACAAATAAGTGTTATACGAACTTTGACCCCCTCTAAGTCCAGTAGTACTTAACCGATAGAGCTGAAAATTTGTATCTGGTCTACTATCAAATAGTATACAAATAGTACTAACCTTAATCGAAAGACATCGATTTTAAAAGATGGGTCACTTGACACGAAATTGTCCATATGTATATTACACAAGTACAAGTTCTTCAACTCAGTCCTGAATTTGGACTGTTTAAACATGGAAAGGAAATGTTTTACAAATACATAGTTATAGGAATCAAATGAATAGGTCTAATCAGGTCTAAATTTTTAGATTTGTATGTTTTATAAAAAAAAATAATTTTATTTAATTTTCCAAAATTTATAAACACTTGGCAACTCTAGTTAATTTGCGGTGAGAGAATATGACATAGTAATTTTTGTTTTGTTTATTAAAGAGCTTTGTAACGACTCTTTTTATTATTCCATGCTAAAGAGTTCAAATTTTATTAGGTTTTCGTGTTTGTTGTTGGTTATTTTGCTTTCTACTTAAGTTTTGGGAGAGCGAGCGTATTAATAATAAACAGTATAACGGTATTGGGAGGCCAATATACTGGCTGAAGGTATATAAACGTCACACATTTTTTTCTTCTTAAACAGGAACAACTGGAGATAAAACTTCTTGTGTTATTTTCTTCTTCTTAAACAATTATGAATATTTTATTTAACAATTTTACACTTAATTTAAGTAACAAATCTTTTCTTTAGAAACATTTCAATTAAAAAGAAAATACTTTTGTGCTTTTAATTACTTTTGCTTTTTAAGATAAACACAATTTAATTTTGGTAAGAAATTTTTATTAAATTTTTATTTATTTTATTTATAACAACCAATTGGTATTATTTTATAAACTTTTTTTATAATTTTAAATAAAACACAAAAGATTTTCTATTGGCCATAACATTTCCTTTTTATTGATTTTTTGTGTTGTTATTTGTTTATTAAACAATTTTCATGGGTTTTAAATTTATTCTTAAATTTTTTCCTTACAGATTCACTTGAAAATTTAAAACTCCTCGTTAAACATTATTTTTTTTTCTTAAATGTATGAAGAATTTCACTTTAGTTTCCTGTTTACTCAGTTTTACCGTTAAAACCAGCACAAGCCAACCGTTACGTTATAAAGCTCCAACTTGAATGAGGAAAAATTGTTGTGTTCTGTTTTTTTGTTGTTTCTTTTAGTTGTATTTTTTTTTTTTCGTCATAACAGAAAATCAAAATCATATGAAATGAAAAATGAATGGTTTTCCTTATTTTTTCCCCAAAAACAAAAACAAAAAAATCACAAATTTTGTTCACTCTCGTTGTATTGTTGGGGAAGATGAGCATTAAGAAGAGGAGGAAGTGTAAAACAGGAAGAAGAGCAAGTAAAACAAAAACAACAATAATAATTCTCCAGCTAACGAAAGCCGAAAAGAACGCACATTTCGTAGTTGGCGTTTGTTGTTGTTGTGACTTTAACAAAATTTTCTATATCCATAAAATGTGTCGTAGTTGTTGTTGTCATTCGTGATTTTTCTCACATTCTTATTGTAGTTGTTGTGTTTGCTGTAATTTTCATTTTCCACTGACACTTGTGCCCTTTTTTCAGTTGTCTAAAAAATGCCTTCACCTAGTAAAAGTTGTGTCGTGTTTTTGTTTTGTTTTGTTGTGCTGCTGCTGCTGCCACTTCTCTACTATTCTGCCAAGTTAATACAACAACAAAGTTTCCTCTAGGGAGAGCATGTGTACTATATGCATAGAGAGTGAGAGTGTAAATCATGCATTGTTTTGTTTATATTCCAGTTAGTGAATTGTTAATGTGAAAGCTTTTCGCCAGAAAGCTTTCTTCTTTCCATACATATGTTTTGTTTTTGTTTAGCATACACACAGCTGTTTGTTCTTGAAAACTTTTTTGACAGTTGCACTTTAATTGACTCTCTCTCTCTTTTTCTTCAATATAGCGGAAATAACTGTAAATTTATTGACAATCAATATGACAAGTTTTTTTTAGAAAACAAAAAGTTTTAAGGTTAAAGGGCGATATAAATAGAATTATAGAATTTGAATAAAAAAGATGGTTTAGGTGATAAGGAAGTGGTAAATATTATAATAATATTATTAGTTGGAAAACTAATGGTTAGTTAGAAAGTAGTGTTGAAGAACTCTTGGTCCCAAATAACCATTGGTTGTCAAACGTAAGCAGCCTTTCATCTCACAATGCTCTCACATGGTCCGTAATTGGGAAATGTTTTCCCAATTACATTCACTCTCTGTATCAATTTACAGATCGTTCAATATGGAACTTAGGTGGTCTACTCTTACCACTTTTAGAATATATAAAATAGTTTGGTCTTGTCTTTTACAGAAAAGATCTTTGGCTCTCTTGGCCCTTGAGAAGAATTTCTATGATTGGTACAAATTGTGTCACCAACGAATCTAATTAAATTTGCTAGAGGTGTCGATTGATTCCAAAATTGGGAAGAAATAACTTTGAGGGCATCACAATGGCTCACATGGCCATTTGAGTGTGTACATTGAACCATGTTGGTAAACGGATGATCGCTTCTGGAAGCCATATAGGAAAACTATAGGCTTTAAATTAGCCCTTATTTCCACTGTGACACAGTGGCTTATATCTGATGGACTTCTTGAGACAAAAATTGTAATATAAAACGATTACATGAAGTTTAGAGTACATTTTATTTGGGAATATGTGGGGCTATGAGCCCTACATCAACTAGGTTGCGGAATCGTTGCTGGATATTCCCTCTATCTACACTTATATCCGAACGAATCTTAACTTTATGCGAAATGAACAAAGGTGGTTATGGGACACGTCATCAAAATGTACAGGACACATTGGAACTCAATACGCAAACATCGGATGTTCCCGATCGCTTACCAGATGCAGTTTTTTTCAGATATTGTGTAACACTGACCACACATAGAATATCAAGAACAAGGCAAGATTCCGTGCAATAACGGAATGTTCTAACAGAGATAAACATATTTACCAACAGTTACTAGGTGCTAAGGTTGAATCATTTGAACTGCATTCAACTGTGAAATGGCCTTAAACTTTACATGGTTAACTTATCACAGGTAGCCAAATCCGGCATTAATTGGGTCCATGTTTATCCCTTTGTAAAAATATCTGCAAGAAGAGGAAGAAAAATAGGAAAAAGTAGAAAAGAGAGAATGTAGAGGAAGAGTAAGAAAAGTAAAATCGTCAAGGAGAAGAACCAGGAAGGATTGTACTGCAAAGGTTTAAAGACGTGACTGAAGGATTACGTCCTATTTAGTGGGACTTCAAGATTCACACCCAAATCAATCTGATAAATTAATGAACGCAGTAAGGTGTTTCATTGAAATGTTCGACAAATTAGATAGATCGCCAAAGTAGGCCGACCCAAACGTCCGAATACGGATCTCTGCAAAGGCAGGACAATTACAGAAAAGCTGAGATATAGCCTCTTCTACTCTTCCTCCTTATTCTGACAACTGCTACATAAGTCATTGAAATGAAGACCAATGCAATACCAGCTTAACTAGTTGTAGTCTATGAAAACCTAGAAGATAGTTAGACCTGCATAGACACATATGTGGCCACAGCGCTCTAGCTTTCTAGCAAGTGTGCTCACGCGAACATCGGTCACGAGCAGTAGAGTGGCAGCACTCCTTAATCTGCCTTTTTTGCAAGAAGTCGAAGGGAGGGCAAGAAGCATCCTCAGAATGATCAAAAACGATGTTAGTACGAATTTTTAGTGGATATATATGATTATTGGCCTAAAAATACAAAATTGGAATAGCATATTCCGATGAATGTAGAGCTTGCAGAGAGAAGAGTGAAACTTTGGAAAACTTAGAACCAAATATCTAAGGCGCGATTCTATTCCAGATATATAATCCCTTACGAATACTGGTAGGAAATTTTTATGGAACTGCGCTTAGGAAAATACGTTTAAGAACTTCGAACGATAATACCTTCACAAAGCACTACATATGGTTTTTCTCTCAACATTTTCCATATAAATCAGCGCATAACTGGCTTCATTGTGCCCTATATGCATTTCTTCCGAAACCTATGGATTTCGATCGGTAATCAATGTTAGTCCTATTGGATATTTTTTTCAACAAGATCGGTCAAGAACTTTCTGAGTCCCAGTGAATCAACGTTTTTTTACTTTTTTTCAAAAGCTTTTAGGTCTTTTCTGTTAAAAGCTTTTTGGTCGCACGGTTTCAAAAGTTGGGTCACTTATCATGAAATCCCCCATATGTACATTGTACGTATTTCGCATTTCTATTACCTTTTACGGTATAATTCTAAGTTTCTTATCATTTATTAATTTAAGAGAAACAATATTCCAGTATTTTTCAACCACTTTTCTTATCACACCCCCCCAATCCCCCTCAAGAAAGAGTTCCAATAAAAGAGAAAATTTACATTAAGGGAGACCTCGATATTTCGTGTTTTTTCTTAACATTCAGTCGGTGAAAAACTACTTCGGCAAAATAAAAATTGTGCATGTGCACACGAGATTTGTTGATATTACAAGTGTTTTATTGTTGTTTGTGACACTAGTGGATGCTGCAGATGATGGTGGTGGTGGTTTTGGTGATGATGGTGGGGTTTAAATTCATTGATGCCAAAAATATAGGTCAACAACGTGCTCCGGGAAAATATAACGCTAACAGTGTCACAGATAAACAAAAACAACAATAACAGCTTTTGCATTAACAAGAAGAAGACAAAGAAAACGAATATTATGGGCCACATAATACAATAAAATATTACACAGATACGTACATACATATACATACATACATGAACAAATGTATGTTTGTATAAAGAAACTAATGCAAAACAGTCGTGCAACATTAAATATCGAATAAATACACTGAAAACAAAGATGGGTTGGTACTTTCAATTGTTGTTTTTGCTAGTTTTGTTGTTGTTTAGTGTGAATATTGTTTGTTTCAACTTCTCAATATTAAAAAAACTAAAATGAATGGTATAGAATTTTAATGGTATTAAAAGCAAACAATGTGTGCCATGGAAGAAGTCCTTTTAGTCGTGAGGATACATAATACATATAAATGTATGTGCGTGTATAGTATGATGATGTGTTAGTATGAGAGTTTAGAGTGTAATAATAGTTGTTGTTGCTGTTATTTACAATTTGCCAGCCATACAAAGTTGAAAATATAATTTGAAAGCTTGGAAGGCAACAATGTTTGTGATTGTGTCATTGCAGTACGCAAGTGAAAGGATTATTAGTTTTTTTTTTTTGGAAAAAAGTATTTATGTAGTTTCATTTTGGAAAACTAATGATAACATTATTATTGATAAACACAATGGTAGTTTTTAGTATAATTGCAATGTTGCTGGTAAATGTTTTTTTAATATTATCTTTTTTGGAAATATTATGCAAAAAAAAACCTTATAAAGAAGGTTCAAAGAATGTTCTGGAAGTTGAAGTTAATTTCCTGCAGAGTTAGATAGCTTGAGTATTTAAGTACTCGGCCTCGTTGCCTTGGTTATCAGGTCAAGGGCGTGTAGTGTACAAGCCTTATTAAGATCACTGCTTAAATAAAACAGCACATTCTTATTTTCGTGACTCTTTAAGAATCAAGTTGAACCTCAATGCTTTTAATTCGGGCTGAAGAACTGATTTCCTTATACATACTATGCGATCTACTTGTCAATCAAACATGACTGGTACTGCAGCGAATTAACAGAGTTCGATATACTACTGTCACTGCCTTAGTACTCAAACGAGGCTAAGCTTACATCTGGGAAAGTATTCGGTTAATGCTCTCCTACAATCCAATATAATCTCAGATTTAATCTTATCATCTGATATCGCCCCTGTTGACACCATATTTATTCCAATCCAGTTTACACATTCCGTTATTACATGGAAGCTAACGTTGTAATTAGTTAGACGATAGTGTGTTTCCGTTATTGTGATTTCAACCACAGAACCATCTTGTTCTCCAGTTTATAGGCATTCGTGTAGTAACAAATTCTTATAGGTATTTGTTCTAATATTCTGCTTGAGCATCATCTGTGATAAGTGTTAATTAAGTCTATATTATTTCG